ATCGGCGATGAGGATGATAACACCGATCAGGTGGTTCTCAAGCCAGAGCGCTTCCGCATCGCCTCCGCCAGGCGCAGTCATGCCTCGGTGACGGCCGATCAGTCGCTTCTGAAGCGCATCAGGGAATGTTCGGAGAAGGATCGGGAGGTGGCCGAGGCACTTGAAAAGGTGCAGGACCTTGGCCCGCCCCGGCTGCAAAGGGGTTTTGAGGAGTGGAATGCCGAACAAGGGCTTTTGCTGTTCCGCGGGTGTGTGTACGTCCCAAAGAACGCAGAGCTCCGGCGGGATATAGTTAAGATCCACCACGACTCGCCGATCGCCGGTCATGGCGGTCGTGCCAAAACCCTTGAGCTCGTATCGCGGAACTACTGGTGGCCGGGAATGTCCAAGTTTGTCAATGAGTACGTAAGCACCTGCGACGTGTGCAACCGTACCAAGACATTCCCAGCCAAGCCCCAGGGTCCGCTGAAGCCGAATGAGATCCCCGAGCGCCCGTGGCAGATCATCACGACCGATATGATCATCGGCTTGCCGAAGTCTGATGGGTTCGATTCGATCCTGGTCACCGCCGACCGCTTTACCAAGCAGGTCCACTTCTCAGCCTGTCATGAGACCCTAACGGCAGAGGGTGCGGCGGATCTGTACATCCGCGATGTGTTCAAGCATCATGGGGCCCCGGCCAAGGTCATATCAGACCGAGGTCCCCAGTTCGCTTCGAAATATCTCCATGCGGTGTACAAGGGTCTGGGAATCGAGCCGGCGCTGTCCACAGCGTTCCACCCTCAGACAGACGGCCAGACTGAGCGCTGGAATCAGGAGATCGAGCAGTACCTGCGCGCTTTCACAAGCCACAGGCAGGATGATTGGGCGAAGCAGTTGCCGCTCGCGGAGTTCGCATTGAACAACCGAGTTCACTCCGCGACCGGGCACTCCCCTTTCTACCTGCATCAAGGGTACAATCCTGAGATCCAAGTGCGGATCAATCCGATGTCCGCGATGCCTGCGGCCGCTGATCGGCTCAAAATCCTGAAGGAGATTCGCGACGATACGCGCTCAGCGCTCGAGCTGTCAACCGAGCGTATGAAAGTATACTACGACAAGCACGTGCAGGAGGCACCGGTCTTTGCGCCGGGGGACAAGGTCTGGCTTGACGCTCGGAACCTTAAGCTGAAACAGCCGAGCAAGAAGCTCAGTCCCAAGCGCCTCGGACCATATGCCGTGCGGCGAAAGCTCGGAGACCTGGATTATGAATTAGTCCTGCCAAAATCGGTGCCGGTACACCCGGTGTTCCATGTCTCCTTGCTTAGCAAGTATACACGTAGCGATATCCCGGGCCGGGAGCCGGAGGAGCCGCCTGCGATTGAGGTTGAAGGCGACGAGGAGTACGAGGTTGAGCGGATCAAGGATTCGAGGATCTTCCGACGTCAGCTGCAGTACCTTGTCAAGTGGAAGGGTTATGACGACTCACATACATCATGGGAACCGGCGCGCAACGTTGCCAATGCGCCGGCCCTCATAGCCGACTTCCATCGGAAGAACCCGAACGCCCCTCGCCGCCTCAACGCTGCCGCATTTGGTGGTCTCAACTTTCAGCCAATGCCTTCGCCACTGACTGAAGCACGCTGCCGCTCTGGGTGGGAGATGGGCAAGGGCGCCTCGCATGAGGTCATGCGCCGTTGAGGGGGGGGTAATGTCACAAGTTGGTACGGCGCCTAGCCGTTTTTTAATTTTTTCCTTTTCGCGGGCTCGAACCCGCGACCTCTGTACTACCTGCCCGATACGGACACATCATTATCTACTGTACGATCAGATTAGATAGGACGGCAGTGCACGGCACAGCTCGGGCCCCGCTGACACAGCCGCTTTGACTCACCGGCCCCGGGG